TAAAATAATTGTGGAACACCCTGTAGTGGCGCGTCGTTCAGAGAGATGACATCCGCGAAAGCCACTATAGTGGCGCGTCATGCCTAAAAGGTTAAGAATAGTATCATTTGCGCAGTAGCCACCGCATCGGTTTAATTAACATTTGTTTGCCCGTACCCGATGCGATTTACAAAACAATTATTCGAACTAGTTCTTAGATTATGCTGGTCCAAAATGAAGAATTCTTTCGACAGACCTCGTCGCTCGTACAATTTAAAGCGCGTCGCATCGTTGTACGTACGCGTGTTATAGACACATTCAGCGAGTCTGCTCTATTTTATAAGGGCTCGGTTTCCTCTGTAAATTTTCATTCTTCGTCGGACCATTGTCGCGCGTCCATTGTGTCCTTGTACATTGTACAGTCGTTAACGACTATTGTATCGCGGTAAGCACCAAAGCATGTTGCTCTCGCGGGGATGATTTTCTATAGCTGGTGCAAATTAAATGACATAACGACGATGCGTGCCTTGTAAGTTGCAATTTCAGACGCACCGCGCTACAGCGTTTCACGGCAAGGCGAACGCGTAGAGAAGCTGCCTTTCATTTTCCACGTTTTCCACATTTGTTCGCGATAATAAATTTCGCACTATTTCGCAAATATTGTACAACGATCACGGACAAGTTTTAAGGTAAAAAGATAATAATATTTTGTACAAACATTCTCGATATTCGATCGATCCAACCTCGACGTTATATCTAAATTACCAACAATTGTAGTCGCAGCTAACAGAACAAATATTTTGTAGTAATGTAGTTTCACAAAAATGATTTCCTTCGTTCTATGTTCTCCACGGAATGAGAATGCCTCTCGACTTTTGCCACAGCGATCGCAAAATTAATTCGGTAAATAGTGAAAAATACAAAGCATCGGTAAAAATGTTGTTAAAATGGTGAAATTTCGGTTGGGAATAATCCTCGACGGACCGGGACAAGACAGCGTGTTCAGCCTTTGCGAACCGATCGTAACCGCATCTCGCAGCTTCTGGCTCTGGCGAAGTCAGAAAACGCGCGTATACTTTCGCAACAGACTGTACGTAACGCGTTTCGAAATGGTAGAAGCACATTTACTTGTATCCTTATATCCACTGTTATTCTTTACGGCGTCTCTACTTATAGTAGCGAAGCAAGCCCATCCAATTTAAAGGCAAAAGTTGAATCAAGGTCTCGCGGTGTTGTCCGTGTTTCCACGGCGCGTCTCTGCCTATCCGGATGCGTAGGCAGATCGTTCTTTTTTAAAGGGAATAACCGGTCCCGTATCGATCCTTACGAGCAATATCGTCCGGCCGGACGCGGCTCTCGTATTCCCGTATATCTTCGGGCTACCCTCCGGGCTGTATCTTCCTTATCGGTGCCGGTACAGTCGCAACGAATGTCTCGCCGTTCTTCGCGCGTTATTATACTCGTCGCGCCGAACCTCGCCGATCGAGACTTCTCTTTAAATCGTAAAACGCGCTCGGCCATTAACGCGCCCCTTTTCGAACACTTTACCCTCCGGCATCGAAATAACCGGGACTTTTATCGAATAAAATTGATGCTCGACGACGCGCGAGCGTGATACGCGTATTAATAAGTGCGCGAGCATCGGTAGCTTTCGTAGATCCAGAAACGCGTTAACCGCTTGCTTCTACGGTGCCTGAATTTTCCACAGAGCCGCTCGATACTTTCTTGAAATTTTGTCATTATTTGATGGCACTGGAAGGGCAGTGTGAGAACACATTTTTAATTCCCAAGCAATATTCATCAATTTTTGCCGAGTGGACAAAGACGCGTGCGGCCTAGCATCGTCCTGCTGGGAAATGACACCTTTGCGATCGACCAATTCTGCTCGCTTTTCCTTGACCGCTGCATTCAATTTGTCCAGTTGCTAACACTCACGGATAATAAAAAATAACATAATAATAATTTTATAATATAACATTTACGGATATCATAAAAATGGGAGCGAGAGACATCTGTAACTGAAATCGGCAATTACTTAGTTGCCAACCCAATATTTCATCGGAAAGCCAAATTTTCATAAAGCCTCACGTTTTTTACGAAAATACGGAGCAGAGCCGACGGCTCTCCGGATTTGGAAAATCGTGTCTCGAAACAGGCCACAGCCGGCCAAACCAGATACCCGGTATTCGGTGTGACGCGTGCCCATAAAAATATTCCAAAACAAGACTCGAATTCTCGCAGCCGCGGTTTCCACGAAATATGACGTTTCCGTGGAACGCGTCGCTTTCATCGGCCGATTCGTCGACGCAGGGGGACGAACGGGAGGCTCGTCGCTCGAATAATGGTGCGTGCCGGAGGAATCGAGAAAAAGGAGGGCTTCTTTGAGTAGCTGCGCGCCGACGTCATCATCGAGGCCAAATATTTACCTTGCAACGGTGTACGCGACCATGACACAAACGGCCCTGTTAACTCGGTGCCGTGTAACCGCGCGCATTTGACGTTTCTACCGGATACACGCGCCTCGGTTTCTCCTCGTTTCTCAAACGATGACTCCTCACCGCGTTTATTAGCTTGATCCGCGTAAAACGTCCAATTTTGTTCGTTCTCGCGACCGTTTCTTCGCAACACATCGCCTCGCCTTAGAATTTCTTTCGGCGCTGATTTCTAAAATTGTTCCACCGTTCGCGGTGCAAACTTTTCGCCAAGGGTTGAATAACGAAAATAGAAAAGTGATATTTCAATTAGCTGTAAGGTATTGTTCCAGTTAACTGTCGTAGATTAATATTCTTGCAGCGATGAAAGAAATTGAAAAGAAAAATGCCAAGGATTTCGCGCACCCCGGGTGGGCCGTTCCTTCGATTACCTATAATTTTCGTTAACGAGTCATTTTGGCCACGCGCCGGTGGAAGCTCCAGGGAGCAAAACGTTTTTGAACCGAACACTAAAACGCTCGCGAATCGAACATAAAACGATTCGCGTTTCGGTGTAATTTATTTCGACGTTATTAACTGCCCGTCAAAATTCCAAACAGGAATTCCGGCCTGTGGTTTTCGTCCGCCGGGACTCCGAGTCGTGTGCCAAAAACGCGTACTTTCGCTCGAAAACGAGAGTGAAAAGGGAACGGTAGGAAGATGAGAAGAGGAGAGATAGGAACGGAAGGGGGGAGAAAAAGAAAAGCTCGCGAGGGAGTTAACGTTGTCCAAAGAAAACGCTGGTAAACGAGAACGCGTCGGGGAAAAGATTCGTTGGTGGTCGTCCCGAGCTAGTGTCAAACACAGCTCCCTTCGGCAGAGTTCTTTCTTCTCTCCCACACGCTCCTCTCTCTCTCTCGCTCTGTCTTTTTCTACTTCTCTCCCTTTCTATGACTGTTCCTGTCGCGGACGAGGGTGCCATGATTCGGTCTGCGCAGCACCACCTCTTTGAATCAGCCAGTTGGAGACAGAAGTACGATATAAACTTTTCGGTAACACGGTATCCGAGAATAAAACGAGCAAACCAATGTAAAACAAGGAAAATCGAAGCATCTACGATATCAGATTTAACCCTTTGCACTCGAGTGGTGGCTCTGAGGCACCGCTAAAATTTGTTATATCATGTTCTAAGATAATTTTGCGAAGACAAAAGAAGTGTGAAACAATGCATACGAAGACGATTATTTGGTTCGAACGATGAGCGAGTGACTTTTGTCATATAAAATGAAAATACTGAGAAAAGTCAGAAAAGTCAGAAAAATTATTTTAGATTTACAATTAAAATAGCTTCGCGAGTGCAAAGGGTTAAACGTTGGAAACAAGGGAATAACCATTTATCGTAGAACATACGATAAGCGTGCCAATTACCGTGCCTCACCCTGGTGCCTTTACCGTGCCCTCGCAATAATTTTACTAGTATTTGCAAAACAATATTATTAAATTAATAAAATTTGATCTGTAATTTCCACAATCGGATCAACTTCTCGAGGCCTATGAAATGCGGAGTAATTAAATCAGCGTACAGAATTCGAGACACACGGTGACTTGATCGAGTTTCGATGGCATCGCTGAAACCTACAAATTATGAAGCGAATATTCATCTCGGTAACTGTGTGTACCTTAATTACCGTCGACGCGATTGTGCCGTCGAATAACCTTCGAAGAATCTTCGATAAGAATGTGAAATACAGTCGAGTTAAAATACACGCGCGTAAGCAAAACGCACCCCATGTTACATTTCGAGCCTACAACGTCGTAAATCTTGCACACAGGTGGCCGAAACCTTGCGCAGACCTCTCGCGTTTTTTCAATTACCTAACCCTGGAACATCTACGTATTCCGAATGTCGAGGAACACGCTAATAACTTGCTGTTGGGCGCAGTTTTAAACAGCCGCTGTCTTTTTTTTCTGACAGTCGGAAGGGATGGGAGAGGAACGACTGTCCAATAGATATTTTACGGCAGTATTAATAAATATTAACGATATTAATAATATATATAATAAATGTTAATTCCCAGATAGCACAACGACGTCTTTAAGACATCTCTCTATAGGCGTTGTGCTATCTGGGAATCAACATTTACTATATTATTATTATTTATTATATTATATTATTATTATTTATTATATATATTATTATTATTATTCCAAATTGGACGTCCTTTTAACGTCTGAAATAAGACGTCTTGAAATGAACGTAAAATGGACGTCTTTAAGACGTCCGGTGCTCATTGAGATAATATATAACCTCAATGTATTAATATTAATTTATACTTAAAAATTTTGTGTGCTCGCCGGCGATAATAAATTACAGACAAATAAAAACAGAACGGATAAATATGCCTCGTTGTTTATCCTTGCAGCGCGAAATTATTCGCTAGCAGAGTTCAACGTTAGACGCAAGTTTCGAACTAGAAGCAATCGAATTAGGGTTTAAAGCAGCGCCTAGTCCAAGGGACGTTGAAATCAGACAGGGAACGAGAGATCAGACCGAATAACGGTAACGACTCTATCGGGACGTTGTTTCCTAAATTGATCGCTCCGTTTCAGATTGCCGTCGCCGTACAATAAGCAGTCGACCGTCGGCGGGGCAGGTGGCGGTCCCGGCGGTGGAACAAGCATACCCTTACCTGCTACCGTGGCTGCTACCAGAAGGTGTCCCCCGGATAAAGTTCGACCAGCTCCAACTCCGACGCATCAATCACAACTTGGTAAGTCTGGCTCGTTTTTCCCCTCCGGCCGAAACTTTCCGAGCTATCGATTCGCCACATTCGCGCAAAACTAAATTCGCTCATTTAATCCGAGCCAGCCAGTCGTTTCCGACGATTCCGCAACGGCCGTGGCTGGATGCATTTACTCTCTCTCTCTCTCTCTCTCTCTCTAGCGCTCTCTTTCTCTCTAGCGCTCTCTTTCTCTCTCTAGCGCGTTCTTTCTCTCTCTAGCGCTCTCTTTCTCTCTCTAGCGCGTTCTTTCTCTCTCTCTCTCTAGCGCTCTCTCTCTCTCTCTCTCTCTCTCTCTCTAGCGCGCTCTTTCTCTCTCTCTAGCGCTCTCTTTCTCTCTCTAGCGCTCTCTCTCTCTCTCTCTCTCTCTCTCTCTCTCTCTCTGGATGTATTTTTCAACTAAGTTTCTTCAGATCAACGTCGATCTTCTCATTGGACTTGCAGTCAATTATTTGACGAAAAATGCAGTTCGCGGCTTCGTTTACGAGATATCGACGAAAAACAATGACCAACGAGAGCATAACCTGCTTCGCTTATGTGCGAAGCTTCATAATTTCAGGATTTTACAACTTCGCAAAACTTTCTCTCGTTGATAAACTTTTCTCTCGGTCTAATAGCTTCGTGAAAAGTAATTTCTGCATCTCTCTTTCAAACTTTGTCCCATTGTTCGGGGCTGTTTGATAATTCGAATAATTTTTTCTTTTTCTTTTAATAATTTAAATAAATTGAATACACACACACACACACTGTCGGACAAAATGGTAGCACAATTTGTAATCAACATAATTTTCGTACGTTCAACGTTGAAAACCAAAGTTTTGTTGCTATACAAATGTGCAAAATTGATTATTCAATTATAATTAATTGGTGCAATTAATTAATTTCTCAAATAACCGGAACACACGGATACGGATAAAGGAAGAAAGCTTGTAATTGAAAACCAGCTGTACATGTTCAACGTTTCTCTGTTACTTATACAACAGTAATTAACGCGTTGCGCGTGTACATTTCCGCAGGCCCAAATTACTGCGGGCTTTCTAGCGCATCAATCGATACAGTTTCCATAATTGTTCCAGAAACGAATACGTTTCCAAATGGTAGAAAAGGAAAATATTAGTTCAAAAGACTTGCGAAGTCGGAATAAAATATATATATATATATTTATTAATATTATATTATATATATATATTTACATATATATATATATTTCATTTAGAAAATGTACAACAAATAATAGCACGTTTCCTTTGAAGAGACTTCAAAATTGGAGCGCCCCACGGACCGTTAGCTCCTGTTGCGCAAACGTTGAAACATTTTCTCATTTCGAGTTACGTACGCTCGCATAGTTGTAACAATAACGTGGAACACAGAAAGCATTTAAATTCGTTTGGCTTTATATTAGAACTTTTCTCCGTTTTCGTTTCTTTCTACCTGCAAACCGGCTCGTGTAAACGGGCCATTGTTTCGTTTTGTTGAAATTTCAATTGCATCACGTTGAAATTCGCAGACTCTGGACATAATTTAGCGTAATAATTGTGCATCGTGAATTGGCATGGTATTTCAGCTAGACGGTTTACCGAAACTACGAGACCGTTGCAAATAAAAGCTCGTTGAGAGGAGTTTCGAAAGCGTCTTTCTTTTCATAAAAAATATATGTATAATACGGTGCAATGTATTTTAGAATTTCCTTGAATAATCGAATAACGTCACATTTATTTTTAATTTTAATTTTAAAAGTTTGTAATCTAACCCTTTGCACTCGAAGCTATTTTCACTGTAAATATAAGATTATTTTTCTAACTTACGATGTTTTTATTTTATATGGCAAAATGCGCCTTATGCATATGAAATTGACTCTTGGAAGTCACACAACAATTACGCTCTTGACAATTTTTTAGATCTAAACTTTGTTGATATAAAAATCATCTTAAAACGTGATGTAACAAATTTTAGTGGTGCCTCAGAGTCACCACTCGAGTGCAAAGGGTTAATTTAAAAGACACTTTGCACAATTTGCACAATTGCGACGGGTTCTTGTTCAAGAAAATGAAAATAGGACGAGCTATTAGACTGTTTCGCGTCGTCTTGCCGATCGAAAGTTTTCTATTTGGAATTCTTCGTTTACGACCGTACCGCCCCGCGAAGCTGTGCGAGCGAAACGAATTAATTTTCCAAAATTATGCATTAAACCTCCCCGATGCGGGCAAACTTCTTAGCATCTCGGGCTTACCCTCGAAGACACAAAGGTTCGACGAGGGTGTCAAGCGGCACGGTGGATGTAGTACCGCGTTAAGAACACCCCATTAGCCATTAGCGCCGTGAATGGCTTTTAGCAACCCTTTGCGCATTTCTGGCTGTCGCGAAGAACCTGGACCACCACCGTGAAAACTGGCAACCATGGGGGTACGCGACCCCGTGGTCCCTTTTAAATATATGGGCTCTCTTGTCCGACCGCCGACCTTGTTCTCCTCGTTCCACCCCCTACAACCCTGCGAGCGAGCTCTGTCTTTCTCGCCCTTTGCCCCTCTCTCTCTTAACCCTTTGCACTCCGCTGTCCCCTCGAGTGGGACATTAAAGTTTATTAGCGATTACGGGGAATTGAGTTATTTCAGCGCAACTTTTTCAGACACGCGTGTTTCCCTGAAGTTTTCTCTTGAAATGGCACCAGAAATCAAATCGAAATATAGTAAAATTACTAAGATATATACAAGAAATGTCAGCGGGTTTCGACGCAATTCATATGTTAGTTAGTTCGAAAAGCATACTAAATAATACGAGGGTCTGTAAATGCCCGTTTCTGTCAAAAAGTGGCGCCGAGTAGCTGGTAGCCAACGTCCAGAATGGTTCGGAGTGCTAAGGGTTAAACGTACTCGTACATTATTATCCTCACCCTAGTCCCGCTACGCGCCGGTTACTCCATTTCGAATAGACACGAGCAGCAACGATCGACAAAAATCCGTATTATCTACGCACATGTCCGCGTCCGACGATGTTCTACGATGCGGATCGTTAAGGGGGTATTCTAATGTAAATTCCATTTACAGAATATTTAGGGGTCAATGTGTCTACCCTTTACAGAGAATTTACGCGAGAGAAAAAACGATTACGCGATACGCGACTATTTTGAACTGATTTTTTGAATTTCCCGATCGCAGATCATCCCTCGCAAGTGCACACAGAAACTCCCCCCACCGCCCTGGCAAAATGAACGCAATACTCTCTGAAAAAATGTTCACTTAGCACCGAATCACACCGTGCAGATGCGCCGGTGCATTTTGGGCAGCCGGTTTCACGGGCTCGCATCTCGGAGAGCGCGCTCCTATTCGCGCGAATACAATGGCGTGGCACGGCGTCGCGAAATTCTGTTAGGTTGGCCTCTGCCGACGAGCAGAACTGATAGCGACGCGTGCATTCGTGTACGTACGAGAGTTACGAATACAACCGTATACTATATATACGTGTATACATGTACATGTGCATATAGTGGCATAGAGAGTCGACGATATTACCTACATCCAGGACGGTCCCGCGAGGGGTAGGTAGTCCGCAGCGAGATGGGGTGGCACCCCATAGTTTATACTTTACTCTCTCGCCTCCCACGTTCCCAGAGCAGCCATGGCCAGATGTGCACGCCGATTTACCGTGGTTCTCAACGTCGCGCGCGCGAAACCCGTGAACAATGACCGTGGTCGAACGAAAGTGAAAGAGGACCGGTTCGAGTCCTGTTGCGAAATATATCACCGGGCAAAACGGGTGTCTTAGAATTTTTCGAACCGCCGATACGTATTTCTGCCCGGCGTTGCTCGTACGCGCACGGCGTACAGTCGCTCGGGAAAACATTCGTTGCGATCGGATCTGGAGATCTTGCGAAATTGATCGGCAATTCCTCCGACCGAAACCGAGAGGCGTGCTCTTTGGTACAGAGCAGAACTTCGATTTAAAACGAGACCGAGAAACTCGAATTTCGTTTTTTCGACGATGGAAGAACCAGTCTACCGGACAATGTGCTAAAAATATTTTTTGGTTCGAATTATAAGAGAAACGTTAGAGCTTTTCGTCCGAGCTTGTGACGAAAATGTAAAACATGCGTTTCGTAGATCTCGATAACTCGTTGATACTGAAAATTTTTCGTCGAATTCCGTTGTTACGAGTTACAAACGGAAGCTAACGATCGATGTAATTTTAATATAATCTCGAACGAATGAGAGAAATGCGATCTAAAAATTGAATTAATCTCGAATTAATCTTGTCGTACCTATTGTAGAATAAATATTTGGACCGCGTCTTTGCCCATCTTAAAGCAATATCCGAACCGCTTCTAAATCGTCGTCTGCGTCGCGTTTTCCATCAAGAATGCACGACACAATTTACAATTTCCTAAATTCGTCGTTCTTTATTTTGCGGATTATCCTCATTTATTTTCAACCACTCTCGAGTATCGTTCCGATCGCGATTCGTACGGGAAAGGATTAATTCTTTCGGTCCGTCTATTGATATAAATGAACAGAATCCTCGGTCCAACCGTAAATTAGCATTAAAATGCAAAAACGAGTTCCCTTGTTTAATTTCTCTCGAGGTAAAAGCTTCGTAACTCTATAATTTCTAATTCTTCTCTCGAAACTCGACTCATCGAGGTTCGCCGGTAATTTTCAGCGCAGGTAGAATCTAGAACGTTCGTTATAATCGGACCGCGGATCTTTATGCGAACGTAAAACTTTCGAGGATCTCCTTTATCAAGTGGAACGGACTCGAAACTTGTATTTTCTGCCAGCGACTTTATCCGGTTACAAATGAAACAAACAAATTTATTTAACCTACGTCGCGTTTTTTATTCGGTCGTATTTACCAGAACGTTATAAGCTGTATGTACATATTAGGAAAAGTTAGGAAAGTTCTGTCCGATAGTGTCACTTTAAGTTTCAATCCATATGCGCATGTTGATTTCAGACATATACGACTGTCTCTCTTTATCATTGCATTTACACTGTACT